CTGGGCTGGGGGTGGGGACAAAAAGGCCCCCTTCACAGTAGCCAAAAACCAGAACGCTCCCAGGCTGCCATCACCCTGAAGAACAACCTCCTCCTTAGCTTGCATCGGAGGCCCTTCCTAACTGCCCCTCGTGCTCTGCCCCACCCTGTCACCACTCTGACCCCAGAAGCACTCACCACTCCTCCACACCTTTGCACAGACTTGTGACCTCTGCCACACTTTCTCCAGCTACCTGCTCCTTCAGGCTTAGCAGAAGAGGTTCCTCCTCTGAGGAGCCCCAGGACACAGTCAGCACCTCCTGTTGTGGGTCCAGTCCCAGCCCTGGCCACACCATCTCCATGACTAAGGGGCAGGTACATAGTCTGGGATGTCTCTGCCTGTGACCAGGAGCCTGCGGAGCAGGGAATGGAGCCGACCCAGCCCCCAGCCAGGGCCAGTACAGGGCAGGTGCCCAGGGAAAATGAATAAGTGGATCTAAGGTATGGTGTGAGTCTGGGGATATGTCCACACTTAGTGTATGTGAGCTTGGCATGTCTGCACGTGGGCCTGTCTCCTGTGTGTGACTGTTCAGTAGGTGTGTGCCTCAGGGGGCTCCAGGGGGCTTTCTCCAGGGTCCACCTGTGTCTGTCTGCATCTTCATGAACACCTTCATGTCTCTGTGCTTTCTGCTTGTGTGTTGACTGCCGGGGTATGAGGGCGGATGAGTCCCTGTGGCTGAGCGGCACTGTGGCCCAGCCACCCTGGGCTGGAAGGCCACTAGCAGAGCTGCAGTGGTTTCAGTCCCTTGAGTCCCTGCCAGCTATCTGCAGCTCCCGTCCGCCCTTCTGCCCCACCTAACCAGGACATACCTGAGGGAGCAGACACTGAGCCCAGGCAGCCGGTGCCCTGGAAGAGCCGACCGAGTGAGACCCTGAGAGACAGGTCCAGGCCTGGGACATCCAAAACAGCCCGAGTGACCAACAGCTGGGACTTCCCAGCTGAGCGGTCAGCACCGCCCAGGCCCACTGGGCCCCACCCCCACCCCATCCTCAACCCAGACCCCATACTTTCACTTTCAAAAGAGCCCCGCCCTTTTCCAGAGGCAATCACTCCAACCTTTGATCCCCCTGGCAAGCTGAGACAGAGGCAGAGGGCCAGGAGCCTCTGGAGGGAAGGGAGAGAGGACCATTCTTGGGACCCGGACTGAGGCAGTGGGGGCGAATGCTAGCAGGGACTTCTACCAACCCCTCCTGTGGCCAGAGGCCAGGGGCACAGGCATTGACTCGGGGACACCTACCTTGAGGGAAGGGGCTCCAGCACCAGGCCTATCCATCAAATTCATCCCAAGGCCCCTTGCACCCTGCTGTGGCAGAAAGCCAGAGCAGAAACTTTTGCCCTAGGGAGTCCCTGGGTTCTATCCCCAGCCCAGGATGAGAGAAAAAAGTGCACTCACAGGGACACCCATGGAGTAGTTGTCCCCTCCATTCCTGAGGAGCGAGGAGGGGCAGTGTCTGGGCGGGGAGCAGTACAACTGCAGAGGTGTGGCTGAGCCTGATGCCAAGGGACAAGGGCCCCACTCCTCCGCATCAAGTCAGATCGAAGGCATTTTGTGGGGAGGGTCACAGAGCCCTCCTGGAGAAGGAAGCCCCCACCCCTTCCCAGGGGGATTCCAAGCAAGCGTCCTAAGAAAGAAAGTCAGGGAAAATCCAAGGAGGACAGATTCTGGCCTGTCCCACCCTGGACTGGAACCAGCTAGCTGCCCCAGGCAGGATGCTGAGTGTGTTAGTGTCCCAGGGTCACCATGCAAAGCACCACAGACTGGGGGGCTTAAACAGTTTTTCTCTCACAGCTCTGCAGACCAGGGATAAGGCTAAGATGCAGCAGGGCTGGTTTGTCTCCTCGAAGGTCTGTAGGTGACCGCCTTCTCCCAGCACCTTTACCTGGTTTTCACTCTGTGCATGTCTGTGTCAATTTCCTTTTTCTATTGGATGAGGGCCCAATCTAATGACCTCATTTTAATTATTTACTTTCTTAAAGAGCCCATCTCCAAATAAGGTCACCTTCTGATGTTCTGGGGTTAAGATTTCAACATATGAAATTGGGGGGGACAATATTCAGTCCATAGCAAACTGGAAGGTACCCAGGATGCTGCCCAGGCATCTGCAGACAGGCCGTTTCAGATCCAAAGACACCAGCACTCCTCCAGATAGGCCTCTTGCTAATCTAGCTCCTGAGCCCTGGGTCCCCTCTGTGGAGTGGGAAGAGTCGCAGTTCCAGCCTCCAAGGAACACAGCAGGCTTGTGGTCCTGTGCTCCCGGCTCTGCCTGGCTTGCCCTCTGGTCCCCAACAGTTAGAGGAAATGAGAGATGAGAGGGAATTAGAACAACTCAAGACTCAGGGCAAGAGCCGGGGGCAGTGACTCACACCTGTAATCTCAGCAACTCGGGAGGCTGAGGCAGGAGGATCTCAAGTTCAAAGCCAGCCTAAGTAACTTATTGAGGCCCTGAACAACTCAGAGAGACCCTGTTTCTAAATAAAATATAAAAAAGAGCTGGGGATGTGAATCAGTGGTTAATGCCCCTGGGTTCAATCCCCTGTACCAAAAGAGAGGGGTGGGGGTAGGGGCCCAAGATGAGTGCAGCCAGGTTATATCAGGGCCCCTGGACCTCCAGTTATGGGTCATCTTCACTCAAGTCCTAGGGGCCTGAACAGCTCCAGGGCCTGGGGCCTGCTCTCAAGCTCCCAGTGACACCCCAGGCCTGGGTCCACTTTCCAACTTACAGTTGTTCTTTTATTCTGTTTCCATGTTGTTTCCCCCTAACTTTCCCAGTAAAATCCCTGTAGAAAAGTCCCTGCCTTGTCTCAGGGGAGGCTGGGGCACAGGACTGGCCTGGCAGGGGTCAGAAGGCAGAGCAGGGAGCAATTGAGAGGGAGAAACATGGCTGGGCCATGCACAGAACACAATCCCAGTTCCCTGCCTCTCCGGCAGGGGCACTTCCTGAGCCTCGGTTTACTACTCCATAAAGTGGAGTTATTGGGGGGACCAAAGGGACTCACTTCAGTTGAGGACCTGGCTCCTAGGTAGGGGAGGGTGGGGAGAAGGACCCTCCCCACCAGCTGCCTGCCAGTCCTAGGGTTCTTTTGGAGTCAGGCAGTGACAGCAGAATTCAGATGCCAGAGGCGTCAAACCACCTACACTGTTCTGGGTCCAGGGTGGAGCCCGATCTGAGGACAGGAGCCCCTGGTTTTATCTTCCACTCCTCCACCGGCTGCAGGGCATGGCAGGGGTAGTGCCCGCTCTGAGTCTCCATCCGTCCTGCGAACATTGCAGAGCATTGGGCGCCCACCTCAGAACGCACCGTGCAGTGGCCCTGGTGACCGCCAGGGGGAGCCGCAGAATGATACTGCGTGGCCTCGCGCTGGGGACGGGTCCACGGGAGGGGCGGGGCGGAGGGCGGGGCAGCCTCTGGCTCCGCCCCGCCCGCGTCCGCTGCGCTCCGCGTGAGGGCAGTGGTCAGTCTGGGGCCTCGGAGTGCCCTGGTAGACGGTGAGCGGCAGAGTGACGTCGTGGTGGCCTCTCGGTCGACCTGGCGTTCCGTCGGAGCCCCGCTGTCTGACCGCTGTGGGGACGTGGCCAGGTCGTGTTTACACGGCTGCAACAGTCCCTGCCCCCGAGCCGAGCGGTGCGGGTTCAAGCTTAGTAAACGGCACCGTCGCCCGGCCGGCGCCCTGCCTGCCGGGCTCCCTCACCCCACAGCCCGGGTGTCGCAATACTTCCCGCGAAATGTCTGCCCCCTTTCCCGCTCCCCCGTCTCTGTCCCGGGCTCCTGACCCCACGGGGAGGGCGGGGGACAGGGAGGATCCTGAAGGACATGAGAAGGGCACATGGGGACATCCTGGGCCCATATTGGCCCCACGTGTTTAATATCAGAGCATTTAATATCAGAGCAGGCTCACGGGAGAACGCTGCCTCCTCTCCCCAACCCCGCCCCGCACACCTCTCCCCTTTTGGGGGTGGGCTGTTTTTAGAAGGAAGGCCTGTGGAGGAAGTGCGCCTTGGTCCTGGAAGTCAGCACTGGGACTAGGAGAGAACAGAGGGCTCTGGGTGTCCACCTACCCTGCAGCTGGAAACGGCACTGACCCACCCACTGGCGCCTGTGGACTTCGTGGAGCTAACATTCAAGGAGGCTCCCCTCTGCCTGGCCCTGAACTTCCTCAGGTCTGGCTCAGGCCCGCCAAGGGCAGGAGGCCAGGCTGTGAGCCTGGGAGGACAGCCTACGGTGGGGGGGACAGGGGACTTGGCCCTGGGCAGGGCAGCTTTCTGCCATACCAGCCTGCCCTGACCAGGCAGCAGCCCCCCTGCCCACCCCAGCGATGGCACAGTGCCCAGAGACCTTGTCATGGACCTGCTGGAGGGAAGAGACACTCACATGGAGCAGGAAAAGGTGCCTGCCCATGTAACCTCCTGTGTGGGCTCTGTTACCAGCTCGGTGGCTTCCTAGCCTAAAAGGTCCCTTCAAAGACCCAAAACTGGCATTGAGCATCTCACTTTGCATCTTAGTTTCCTCATTTGTAAAATGGGACTTTTCAAGGAGTTAATAAGATCCAACTTGGTATAGGACACTTGATCCTGTGCCCTATTGCACCCAGATTAAGGGGGGGGGGGTGACAGGTTCAGGAATCATGCCATTAAGGCCCAAGGAGGAGTGTAGAAGAGGAAGGCCATGTAGAAGAGGCTGGTCCTTCCTTAAGTAGCCTAGGCTGAGGCACAGTAGGGAGGGGGTCCCTAGGCAGGGGCAGCAGAAGGGTAAACACTACAGCACCTGACAGCCCCATCCTGCAGTGTTCCCACCCCACCCAGTCAGTCACTCTCCATCCCCACCCAAGTGCCAAACCTCGAAGTGGCCACCCACCTGGCACTCTGGCTTGGTCAGCCTGGGTTCTAAGGACAGTCTGGAAGGCCACGAGTAGAACCAAAATTGTCCTCAGTCCCTTGAATCTCCACCAAGTGTGCCCACTGGTGACCAGGAAGTGCCTTTATTTCTGATCCAAACCACAGAACAAGGAGGATGTGGTCCAGACCGGGCCTTGGAGGGAAAAGGCAGGGGCTGAGGTCCTGGCCAGACCTGGTGAGACAGGAAGCTCTGCCAACTGGGTGTCTGGGCAGGACAAGCCCTCTCTGTGCAGTAGCCCAGCCACCCTGGGACTGAGGCCCTTTCAGCAGTCAGAGAGCAGAGCCCCTCCATGTCTTTCTCTGTCACTGGGCCAGAGGTGCCTGGTCCATGGAGCTGGCACACTCACTGCCAACATCATCCGCCGCCTTCCCTGATGCTCCTTGTAGACTTGGGGAGGGGGCTGCAAAAATAGAAGGGCCTCCATGTTGGTGGAGGGCTCCAGCCTGGGTGGATCCCACAGGTCTAAGGCCAGCCTTTGGCAGGCACCTGGGCCAGGGCAATCCACTTCTTCCCCAGGGATGAGAAGGAGGGATATGCTAGTTAGGGAGGGAGGAAAACTTGCTCTAAGAGCAGGAGCACTCCTCCCCTCCCCTATGTATCAGAGAAAAGGGGTGGCAGTGAAGGGTAGTCCAGGGCACACCTGGGACCTTTCCAGGACCTTAATCCCAGTGGTTACCCAAGAGACAGTCCCTGATGCTGTCCTGGGTCCTGGGCAGAAACTGACAAAGGGTGAGAAGCTTTGAGCAGGGGAGATTATAGGCATGGATGCCTTCTGGGCCTAAGCTACAGGGTTGCTGACCACAAGGACTCCTGCCCAGGGGCTAAGGTCTGCAGATAGACAGAGGGCAGGCGGGAGGCCCAGCATCCCTGGCTGGGGCTGGGTTCATTTTCTCACTAGGGGCTAGACCCTAGGGGGTTTCAGGCACAAAACTTCTGAGGACACAGCTCAGTCTTCGTGTCCCCTCCCCAACCCCAGTAGCTTCAGAGCCATCCCCAGAGACCCTCCACTGCCCAGCCTGCTGCCATCCTTTGCCCTGGGCCTGGGCCTGGTGATCCTCCTGCCCCAGGGTCCTCCAGAAGCTCCAGCCTTTGCACAGGGCATCTGCTGCCAGGACAGGAACTGGCCATTGGGCTGCCCATGTCCCCAACTGTGCACTTGTATTTACCCTGACTCCTCTAGACTCCAGTGGGCAATGTGCAGTGTTCCAAAGGTCTTGAATCAATGAGGGAGGGAATAAAAAGAGAGGGAGGGTTGGTGGGGAGGGGTGAGAATGTGCAGTCATTCACTCACCAAATGCTGACTGTGTACCTTCCAGGTGCCAGGCCTGGGGTCACAGGGGTGGGTGAGGGGACCTTAATTGCAGGTGGGAGAGAGGAGGGCGATAAGGAGGAGACAAGGCTAGGTGGCACCTAGGAACCTGGATGGACACAGGCTGGAGGTAGGTCAGGTGGATGTAAGCAAGCTCAAGGGATCCAGCACCTCTTTCAAGAATGGGCAGGAATGAGGCCCTGCTTTGGACTTGGGAGACAGTGGCCATCTTTTCCTCTCAGCACCCCCACAGGTAGCCTCACTCACCAGCAGCAACAACCTGGCTCGGAAGGGCACCCCTCTGGATGCCCTCTGGGGGCCAGCGCAGCTCCCCACTTTCCACAGCACCTGCCTCACTGGGCTCCACCACGATTGAGGGCAGCCGCGGGCCCAGCCGAGGGCCCTTCTCCCGGGCACTCCCCACTGCCTGCAGAGAAAGTTGACAGGGGTCAGGGCAATACCAAGCCCTGGGCTCCCTGCCCCCTCACTCCTCCCCTGCCCTCTGCCCCATTAGGAGTTCCAGGCAGGCGTGAGCATGAGTGTGCATGCACACACATGGGTATCCCCAAGATGGGTATGCCCCCCCATCCCACTACCAGGGAGGGGGGCACTTGGCTGCTGGGGTCACAGCTCTCCCTGAGCCACCATAGAACATACATGACTCATTCTCAGAAGCTTATTTCACAGACAGGAGCCTGAGGCTGGAGAGGCCAGGGTTACTCCAGGAGTGATATGTACCCCCAGCTGTTCCTGTATCTGGAAGCCTGCACAACCCCTTCCTGGGGTCTTCCCTGCTGGGACATTGGCCTCCTCCTTCCATTCAGAGGAGCTGGGAGGATGTTGCCATGACAACCTGAGCTCTGGCTCTCAGCTCATTGTTCAGTGCCCACACCAGCCCTTTGGGTGCCCTCAGCTTCTCCGCCTCCCATTCAAGACCTTGCAAGGTGGAGGCCACGGTACTACCTCACACACCTCCATCTCTCAGCACCCCAGTGGCCTGGACCTGCCTGTGCTGTCCCACTTCTTGCCCTGGCTTAGGCGGTTTCCCTCTTTCTGGAGCTCCCCACCTCCCATCTTTTCCATCTAAGAGGACAGCTCCTTGGTGCAGGTCCTCTGTCCCACAGTGGTACATGTGCCCTAAGGAAGGGCAGGAACACAGCAGGTGGAACTTTGCTAAACAGTCCTTGAACAACTGCAGAATCACCTGGCAGTGGACTTCAATGCACATTGGACCCTCTATTATTTTTCCCACTATGTTATATTTAGCATAATTTGGTCAATTTCATTCCAACAACAGAGAGGAATGACTTGATTTTTTTTTAGGACCCTCTCTTAACCAAGTACTTCAGGTGACCCTGAGTTTTGAGAACAGGCATCACCAGGTTGGACCTTCTGTGGAACGAAAGAGCAGATAGACATCAAAGGACAGCAGAGAAGCCCCCCCCCCCACCTCTTGCACTATCAGTTCAGGGCTCCTTTCCCATCCTGTCTCCCACCCCACATGCCATTTTCCTTCCTGCCCCACCCCCAGCCAGGGGACTACTCTGCTCAGTGTCCTCACTCTGTTGAAGAGGGCCCAGACTGGCAGAGTTTGCAGGGCAGCTGTGCGGTGGCCCCAGATTCCAGGATGGCACTGTGCAACTCTGGGCTGCTCTCTGCTGGCTCCATGGCTCCCGGCCCAGCACTGGAACCCAAAGCACCCAGGCTGCTTCCTCTGTGCAGAGACCTCAGTCAGGTCTTTGCTGCCTCTATGGTCCACTCCCAGAAAACAAGTTGAAGGCAGGCCCCTGGTATTGCATCACCCAACAGTGAATAGAGTATGCTCTTAATCTTGGGGAACAAGTCCTGGTGTCCCCAAATCCATAGGGGTGCTAAGTAAGTCAGGATGGCTCACCTTCAATTGCTTTCTGCACCAGACTTCGATAAAAAAAAGCAACGACCTCCCCCACCTGATGGGTAAACTGAGGCCAGCAGTGAAGAGAGGCCTGCCCCAAGTCATGAGCCAGTGCTTGAGGCTAGCTATCTTCTGTCCCCTCACCCCACACCTCAACCACTTACCTTCCCTTCTGGGCCGCCGGTTCCCTCAACAGGGCTTAGCTCTGACAAGGTGGGCTGGGAGGTGCTCATGCTGCTGCCTTGACAGGCTGCACAAAGAGGGGCAGGAATGAGGTGTCCACTGTGGCTGAAGCTGGATACCCCCTCCTCCCAAAAGCCTTTAGACTGCCCTCCTCCCACCCACCCTACCCTGCCTGGCACAGTGACTCCTATAGGATCTTTATCATGCTTCTCCCTGCTGAGCCCCCACCCAGGGGGGCACTGGACAGCTGCCACACAGTGCCTAAGGCTGCAGAGAGGCACAAGTAGGAAGGGAAGAGACTGAACTAGCCTCAAGGCCCAGGAAGGTCCCCTGGAAGAAGGTCTGCTGGCCTGAGGGATGAGTAGGAGACAACCAGGTCAGCTGGGAGGAGAGACCTGTGTTCTGAAGTAGAGAACAGCCAGGGGAGGGCACAGAGGACCTGGGGAACCAAGTGGTTTTCTGAGCCAGGGACCTGGAGTAGCAAAGGCTGGGCCTCATGTCTATTATTATTATTATTATTTTAGTTTTAGATGGACACAATATCTTTATTTTATTTTTATGTGGTGCTGAGAATCGAACCCAGTGCCTCACGAATGCTAGGTGAACCACTTGAGCCACATTCCCTAGCTCCCCCCAGTTTCTTCTTACACTTCACATATCCAGTTAGGCCCTTAGCTCCCACCATCAGAGGGGAAATGATATCCTGCCTACACGTGGCCATGCCCACCCAGGTGGGGCATAGGGCAAGTGAGCTCCAAGGGCTCTGGAAAGAGAAGACCAACTGCCTCTTCACCTGCAGTGTGGCCAGGTGGGCTCTAGGGGATATGTCCAGGCCAGTGGCAGAAATGGGGGTGGGTTTTGGCAGTTAGAGGCCTGATCCTGGATGGCAGCAGGGGGCCACAGGCAAGGGGCATAAGAGCTGGAAGAAGACTGGACCCAGGGAGAGCAGTGACCAGCAGAATAGAATGCCTGTGACATCCTGCTGGCTGAGAATGAGGCGCTGTGGGCACCCAGCAAGGGCAGGGGCTGCTATTCTGGGAAGTGAGGTTTCCTTCACCAAACACGCAGTTCAGGTCAGCTCAGGTCCCACAGATGCCCAGGAAGGAGAGGGGCACACACTGTTGGGGGACATCCCCAAGCAATGAGCAGCCAGTCCATGTCTACTGGAGAGGCTCCCCAGTCCCAGAGCCCATGGCATGCCTCCATGACCCATGGTCCCAGGTCTGGCCCTCCACTGAGCCTCTTCCAGGATTTCATCCCAGGGCCTGGAAATCTCTAATAGAGTCCACAGAAGCCAGGACAGAGCCCAGAGAAGGGCAAGGCAGGGAAACTACTGGCCACAGAGACCAAGGCAAGGAGAAGGAGCTGGAGAGAGACAGAGAGGGCACCAGCGAGGAATGAGAACCGAGAGACGATAGAGCTGTCACAGTGAACAAGTCAGAGTGGGTCGGTGCCCAAGAGCTGCTCCTCTCCTGCTGGGGTCCAGTACCAACGTGGGCAGGCGGCACTGCGAGCACCGGTCCACATCTCCAGGGGCTCCCAAGTGTAGAGGGCCAGGTACCCACCTGCACAACCGCCAGCGGTTCTGCTCTTGCCCAGATCCCAGTGTCCCATCTCCAAGGATGATCCAGAGACCCAAGCCTACCTTTCCACGCCAGCTCCTGCTCAACCCCCTTCTCCTCTCCCACCCACCCGCGCCGGCCGCCAGGGCTCACTTGGGCGCACGTCCAGAAAAGGTGGGGAGGGGGCGCCCCTGCGCCTCACGCACACTCACCGCCTGCGCTGGGTGCTCCCGCCCGGACCTCCGCTCGCCAGGCGCTGCGCTCGCCGGCCTGGGGCTCTCCTCCCCGCGTCCCGCCCTCCCCCGCACTCTCCGCCCACACGCGCCAGCTTTCCTGGCCTCTCGTTCACACTCCCGCCTTCTGCTGGTGGGGCGTGGCCACCCCTCAGGGCTCCTTTCCTGCCCCTTCTAACCTCGGCCTCATTCTCCCCAATCCCTTCCCTGAGAACCTGACCCTAGCCACTTGGGTGCAGAATTAGGTGGCGCCAGAAATAGGAAGAGGACTCCCTTCCTTTGGAACAACAGAAGAGAGAAGTGAAAAGGACACTGAAAATCCAAAGTGGGGAGATCAATCCACAGCCCCTCTCACCTTAATTCCGTCTCGTTTCCTCCAAAAGGAGCAAAGCAACCCTGGAGCAAAGCAACTATCAATTATCTACTATCATTCACTATCAATAAATAACCCATCATCCTTCCTACCCACTGTCCACCATCTGCCTTCCACCCTCCAACTACCATCCATTCATTCACCATCCACCATTCAGTCATCATCCAGGATCCAATATCCTTCCACTATCTACCACCAGCTGTCATCCAACAACCAATATCCATTAACCATCAATCTCTGTCACTACATGCTGTCCAACCAGAATCCATCCACTATGCATTCATCCACACAACACCCACACCCACGATTTGCCAAGTACCAATACACCAGGAAAATACTCATCAATCCAACAACATTCATTTACCAAGCTTCATCCACTGTTTATCCAGTCATCACCCACTGTGTAGCAGCTTTCCATCAAATGTTTAACAATTGTCCATCCACATGTTGTGAGTCCATCTACCATTTATCTGTCAATCATCAATCTACTCTCTAGTTATTATTCATATATCCCGAGTCATCCATTGGCTTTCATCCAATCAGCCACAATTCATCCATCAATAATGCAGTCATCAATCATTTAGCATCTGCCATCTATTAATATTTCTATGAACTATACAATCCACCATCCATCCATCCACCACTGACACACCCTGCACCATCTCTTATTGCCATCCAACTCATATATACCTATTCAATGTCTGTCACTAGATATCCTCCATCCATCCATTATAAAACTACAATTCACTGTTCATTCAAAATCCATCCAAGGGCTAGGGTTGTAGCTCAGTGATAGAGCACTTGCCTAGCATATGTGAGGCACTGGGTTCAATTTTTAGCAACACATATAAATAAATAAAAGTCCATCAACAACAAAAAAATTTAAAAATTGGTGAGTTAAAAAAACCTTCCAAGTATCATCTACCATCAATTTTATATGCACCCATCCTAAAAAAAAAGTACTGAGTGTCATCTATGTGACAGGCATTGTTGTAGGTGTTGGTTACAGTCAAGAAACAGCAGTGAGCATTCCTTGACCATCATCCATCCACCATATAATCCATTCACCATCCATCCATGTATGGTCCCCCATCTATTATTCACTATCCATTCAGTATTCATCATTGTTGGTCATCCATTCACTAACCATTTGCTATCTGTCTATCTGTCCATTAAACCATTCATTTACCATATACCATTCACTACCTTTCATCCATTCAACATCTCTCCACTATCTAACCACCCACCATTCACCTTTCATGCATCCATTTTCTAAGATGTAACCATTTACTATTTTAAAAACCATCTATCCTTTAAGCATCTAATTATCATCTGCCTAGTCAGAGTCTATCCATTCATTACATATCCGTCATCCATCTTCCATTTACACCTCCAAGGACGATGATACACAACCCAGTATCATCTAAGTGGCAATCATTCATTTATTTATTTGGTGCTTTTTTAGTTAGCTTTTCATCACCATGACCAAAACACCTGAGAGGAACAACTTAGTAGGGGAAAAATTTATTTGGGACTCTTGGTTTCAGAGGTCTCAGTTTATAGGTGGCTGTCTTGAATGCTCTGGGCTCAAGGTGAGACAGCACACCATTGGGAAAGGACCCAGTAGAGGAAAACTGCTCAGCTCATGGTAGGAAGGGATTCCAGAAAGAACAACTCTTCCAGGGCACACACCAGTGACCCACCTCCTCCAGCCACACCCCACCTGCCTACAGTTACCACCCAATCAGTTCATTCAAACTAGGGTGGAATAATTAGGTTATAGCTTTCACTATCCAATCATTTGACCTCTGCATATTCCTGTATTAACAAGAGTTTTGAGGGGACACTAACCAAACCATAATAGTGCTTCATTTATATGTTGCATGAGGCACTAGCTTTGATTCTCAGCACCACATATAAATAAATAAAATAAAAGTCCATCAACAACTAAAAAGAATAATTAAAAAAATAATAAATAGTAAACATTTGTTACTCAGTACCAGTACTGGATTCTGGGATCACTGAGATGAATAATGCCCAATTCAAATTCATGGCCTGATGTCCAGAAAGAGCGAACAGGTCAGAGAGAATTGCCAGTGTAAAATGTATATTGTGCTGAAATTCCAGTGCCTCTCTCTCCCAGACATGGGGTGAATGAAGTTCTTTTGAATAAGTTTCCAGGGAGGAAGATGGGGAAGGGGCAGGAGAGGCCTGATCAGGTACTGTGACTACAGCTTGGAGACCTGATGAGGCAAGACCCAAAGTCGAGAGCACCTGGCGGAGGAATCAGTCCCCCGTGTGGGACAGCAGGGAGGTCTGGAATACATTTAGGCAGGCAAATGCCCCAGTTAGCTAAGGTCTTAGAAGAACCCCCCATTCATTGTCTACAGTGTAGATGTGCTGCTGCACTCTGGAGAACAGGAACCAGAAGAAGAGGGGCTTGCCTTAGGGCCATTGCAGCAAAGCGAATGTGTCAGACTCCTGGCACCGTGGTCACTGTGGCTGCAACTGCACCACCTCCACACCTAGATGACCAGAAAATTCTTTATGCAGACACACTCTCCCTCCCACCACCTCACCCCCAAAGGCACCCACCTCCTTGCCACTTGAGCAGGAATTGTTCTCCCAATTTTTAATTTGGGTGTTAACTGTCACCTAGGGTGTTAGTTGTCATCCCAGGTGTTAGCTGCCAGAGGGCCTCACAGCTCCTAGAGATTGCTCCTATTAGAGCTCTCCAGAAAGGCCCTTAAGTATATGCTGTGATGACTAGGGGGGGTAGGGACACCTACAAGGACAGGCCTGAAGCCTAGAGCTGAGCTTTCAAGGCCATTAGGGGCTGTCTTTGCTCTAGCCTCAGATTCTGGGTCTCCCCTCTCCCTCCTGCCTCCACCGGGGACTTCACAAGAAACAAGCAGAGCTGAAGGCAGGAGCTCTGTGTCCTGTTGCACCTCCACTTTGCTGTGTGTCTAGGGAGTCCCTGCCCCTCTCTGGGCCTCCCTTTTCCTTCCAGTGAAGCAGGGGAAGGTTAAGAACCAATCATCTCTGGTGTCCTCTGGAGGTGCTGAGACTGCCGCTTCCCCAGCACCCCCCAACACACACAAACAACCTTCCAAAGCTTGGTGGAGAGGATAGCATCAGCATGTCTGGTTCTGGGCCAGGAAGGTTGGCTCTTGTCGTCCTCTGGTGGTCATTCTCGGGTAAAGCACCCCAGACTTCCCGGGGATGGTACAAGGCAGTGACAACACGTTTGCATATCTTTGCAACCTTCTATACTGGAAGAGTGCGGTGCCAGGGGCATCATCTTCCTGCATTTTGTCCTCAGGTGCTGATCTTTGAGGCAGAGCCAGGACTGACCCCTCAGCCTTTGATGGGCTGGTGGGCAGCTGGTCCTAAGAAAACAACCACAGGGGAGAAGGAGAAGGGTGGAAAGCCTGGGCACCGGCTGATCTCAGTGAGGTTCCACTGAAGGAAACCTGGACCCCTCCTACTGTCTCCCCACACTAGAAAGAAAGGTCCGGGCAGGGATTTTCAGCTGTCTTGCTCCAACACTAAATCCCAGGCTCCTAAATATTCGCTGGCCGCACAGAATTTGTGGATGTAAATAACAAGGTTTCAGGGTTTTAAAGATACCTTAATAAAAATCCAGACAGCAGGGAGTGCAGGCGTGCGCGGCACAGTGCCCTGGGCCATTCCCAGGACCTGTGGGACCCTGAGAGCCACCGGCATCGCCCGCCCCCACTTCAGCCTCCCCTGAAGCCTGCGCTGAGCCCCGGGCCAAGTCGAGGGGACAGATGCAGCCTGAGCCACACCGGGGAGGGGCCATCTGCCCTCCCTGTGAGGGTGGAGCGGGGGCAGGAGGAGGAACCTGGTCTCCAACTGCCGCAGGATTGCGCCCAAGCCGGCGGGTCGAGTGGGGAGCCGCGGGCCGGCGGCCGAGCTCCGGGCCTGCGCGGCGGGTCTCCAGCGCCCCCTTTCGGCCTGGGCGGCTCGCGCCGCGCGAGCGCTCCGATTCCGGGGGGGAGGCGACCCTGCGCGGGCGCGCGGGCCTGGGTGGCCTGGCCTGTAGGTCTCTGGCCCTCGGTCTCGCCCCAACACCAGAGCGAGCGGGAAGCCGGAAGAGCCGGGGAAAGGGGCCGGGTTGACATTCTTGTCCCAGCCTGCACGCCGCCTCCAGTCCCTACCCCTGGTACTGCAGGGAAACTGAGGCTCAGTGGGTGCTGGCCCGAGAAGCCGAAGCACAGCCGGACGGAGCCGCGGCACCGACGCCCTGCCCGCCAGTGCACGGATGGGGAAGTCGAGCCCCAGGACGCTTGAGCGGAGGGCTTGACCCGGCGGGGCGGGGAAGGGAGATCTGGTTCCCAGGCGCCATCCATCCAGGGGACAGAACCGCCCAGGATTGCGTTCGGCTGGCTGGGGTTTGGGTGAGCTCCATTTCCGGCTTGAGGGACAAGTGACTTTGGACTGGTAGCCAGGTGGTGAGGACAGCGCGGCAAGAGCCCAAAGGCCAAGTTGGAGCTGGCCACTGCAGAGGTGACCAGGTTGGCCGGCAAAACGGAAGGGAGTTGTCCACTGCTACGCCCGCTGAGGTCACCCTGGACGAGGTCATCATCCCGCCCACCCTCGCCTTGCCTGTCACAGGGGACAGTGCTTGTCTTTGTGTTTCTCAACGTCCCCACCCCAACCCATCAGGCTACGAATAAAGACGGCCTGGCTCATGGTGTCTGTGTGGACGGTGAGGGGTCCGGGTCAGAGCCTTCTGAGGACTCACTGGCAGTGGTAGCTGGCCAGCCTCACACATACTCTAGTCCCACCCACTAAGCAGCAGCTCCTGTTCACAAAAGTGGGGACAGATGCTTCTCCAGGATAATTGGTAAATGAGCAGCAATGTCTATGCCACCGTGGGTAACAAACAGTTTAAAGCTAGTGCCCTGTTTGTTTGCGTAGCATGGGGATGTGGGAGCCTAGCTGGCTCACAGCACTTCCTGTAGGACAGGCACCATGCAGGCGCTTTGCCTACAACTGGATCATTTCCTTTAACATGACCTCTGTGAGAATGACACATTATCCCATTTTACAGAGAAAGAATCAAACCCAGGGGCTAAGGCAGCTGTGCAGTGTCAGAGCTGAGTGAGAGTTGTCACTCTGATTTGGAGTGGGGACCTGCACCAGACTTAAATCACTGAGTTTCTGCCGGGTCTCTGTTGTGACACCAGGGAAACTGGGCTAACTGGGCTGCACGAAATAACCACACAAGAGACACAATACCTTTTTCTTTGGGGTCGCTGTGACGGCTCCTCTGACCTTAAGGGTCTGCAGAAAGAGAGTGAGACTGCCGCTTCCCCAGCACCCCCCAACACACACAAACAACCTTCCAAAGCTTGGTGGAGAGGATAGCATCAGCATGTCTGGTTCTGGGCCAGGAAGGTTGGCTCTTGTCGTCCTCTGGTGGTCATTCTCGGGTAAAGCACCCCAGACACTGACCCCTTTTATTGAGGAGAAACTATTCAAATGAGGCAAGAGGTCAGGTTTCAGGGGGCTGAGTCTATCTTCATGATGTCCACTGTCAGCAGGTTGACTAAAACATCTAGGTAGGCCACACCCAAGGGCACAGTAAGAGAAGGGGACACACACAAGGCACTTCCACGGAAGATTCTATCCTAAACAGGGCAAGGGGTTATATTCCAAAGGAACAGGTGAGTGTAGCTCCACCCATGGGGCTGTAGCAAGACACACCCATGCAGGAGACACCAACCCTTGGACCCAAGAAGGGTGGGGAAAGTCTAGCAGAATGCTGCCTTATGCCTCAGCACCCAGTTGGGAGTGTGACTCAGTCACGTGCAAGGTTGGTCTCCCACAGGTTGCCTGCCACCTCTGCGGCCAGAATACTGAGCCGTGGTAGAGGCACATCTTTCTCAGCACCTCTTTGAAACTGTCTGGCCACACTCCAGTGGAGAGCCAGGACCTCTACTCCTCACCTCAGCACTAGGGACAGAGGCTGTTAACCTCCAGTTCCCTGGTGCAGAGCAGACATTCAGACTCAGAGACTCCCAGGGCGCACAGCTAGAAAAGGGCAGAACTGAGGTTGGACTCTAGTTTACCCTGGCCCTTCCTGCCTGCTGGCTTTCTGCCATCCAAGACCAGCTGGCCACAAGGGAACTCTGGCATCCTCCCTCCCTTACCTACCAGAGCCCCTGCCAGGTGTTAGGCCCCTGGATTCATGCTCCCCCTCCCCCAGCGTCTTCACCTTCATGAATTCCAGGTGCCCTTCATGAATTCCAGCTGTCCCCACTTTAGCCCCACCTACAGGTAGGAGCAGGGCAGGATTCAAGGCTAGTTTGAAGGGCCCATAGTGGCACTCCCAAGGGTGTGCCTGCCACCTTTGGTCCTGCCCAGCTTCTGCAACAGGAGCAGCCAGGAAGAGCAGGTTGGATGCCCGAGGCATGGCCCTCCTGGTGCTCCAACACATCCATCCAGCAGCCCGACTCTCCACCCTCACTGGCCCCCCTGCCACCCGTGCAGTGGTTCAGCCTGGTAGAGCATTTCCTTCTAGTGACTGTTCAACAAAGGCACCAACATGAGGTACCATACCACCCAGGGCAAACCAACAGGCAGCAGCAGCAGCTCTAGAGCAGGTCCCCCAGCTCTGCATCTGCCTATCCTTAGGAGGCGTCGGGGGGTGTGTTCAGCAACAGGCCCTGTATCAACAGGCCTGGTGTCAACTCAGGCTCCAGGACTCTGGAGGGTTCAAAAGTGCCAGGCCTGGCTCAGGGCTTTGAAGGCCGATTTGAGGGGTGGTCCTCTGAGCATGGGTGTGGAGGGCAGGGCCAGAGCCAGCATAACCAGCACTAATGATCCTCAAGAGCTGGGTTCTGGGGTACCCACTGCACTCACCCTGTGCTTTGTCTACTCCATCCTAAGGCCCTGTGAGGCAGGGCTGTTAGCATACTCTTTAGCAGATGAGGAATCACTAGTAACGTAGGGTGCGGTGGGGCATGCCTACCATCACAGCAACACAGGAGATGCAGGCAGGAGGACTGTAAACCTCAGGTCAGCCTAAGCAACTTAGTGAGGCCCTGTCCCAAAGTAAACCAAATGGGCTGGGGACGTAGCTCAGTGATAGAGCACTTACCTCGCATACACAAAGCCCATCCCCAAAATAAAATAAGTAAATAAAAAAATCTGATAAAGGGTATGTAATCCTTTACCCAGGCTCAAGCAGGGTCTCAACTAGATGTCACTCTGAAGGTCCCTGAATCTCCCTCCCTTCATTCTTACTCAATGCTGGCAGGGATGGGTGGCTCCTATAGTTTGGATCTTGCCTATATGTTGAAGACTTGGTCTCCAGTCTGTGATGGAACCTTTAGGTGGGGCCTAGTGGAAGGAAGTTAGGTCATCATCACATTTAAAATTCTGTGCCCTTGAAGGGGATATTAGAGTCCTAGCCCCTTCCTGTTGCTCTCTTTGTCATGCGCCCTGGCATGAGGTACCATACCACCACAGGGCAAAGCAACAGGCCAAGCAACCATGGATTGAAAACTCTGAAACCATGAACCAAAATAAACCTTTCCATCTTATAAATTGATTATAGCAGGTATTTTGTCACAGTAATGGAAAGCTGACAAACATAGGTGAGCAGTAGGAGAAAAGTGAATGACCAGGAGGTCAAGAGCAGAGACCCTGAAGGAAGGCTGCACCAGAGCAAATCAGCCCAAAGATTCTCAGTCCTGAGCCTGTGGCAGGAGCCCCTGCCCTGCCTTTGCAGCTCTGGACGAGTGGGTCCGGGTATATTTATAACAAGTTCATAAGTGCTGCTGCCGGTCCCATCTGGAGACCACACGGTAAGAACCACAGGAGCAAGGGGTGGCCAGAGGCAATATCCTACCCCTCCCAGGCCTCATCTGTCCACACCCCAAGCAGGATGGGCCAGCCTTACAAGCCTCTGCCGTCATCTGTGTCAAGAGCAATGCCCAGGCTCTGCTAGCCACCCAGCTAAGAGGAAGTTCCAGCTCCTCCCTCAACCTGCTGTGTGCCTTGGGTGGGTCTCTTGGCCATGCCGAGGCTCCGTCTTCTTGCCTGTACATTGCACTGGGGAACAGAAGCTGTGTGTGGATAGAGAGGGGCTGTGAGGAAGTCGTGCACAGGGAGGAGTGCTCCTTACAGTGCTCATCTTTCCTCCCAGAGACATGGACACGGGCTACATCTGGAAGGAGACATGGGCTGCTTGGGGAAAGGCCGAGGAGTGTGCAGGCCAAGCTTGCTAGGCTCAGAACCAGGCCCTGCCATTTATCAGCAGTTACTCAACCCCCCAAGCCCCAGTTTGCTCCTCTGTGAAGTGAGGTCAGTTCCGGCCCCCACCTCTTCAGGTTCTCGTCTGGGTTGGAGTCCAGTCTACAAAGTGCTGATAATAGAGCATTTAAAATATCTGTGGCTATTGCTGGGAATCCTCCTGACTTCCTGGCCCAGCCTCCACACCCACCTCACTCCTTTCTGAACTGTGTGCTCAGGGAGGGGAATCTTTCAAGGGCCCCAAAGGACCCTGAATGCCGGCCTAGGACTCCCCTTCATCCCTAAGGCAGTGGGAAGCCATGGAAGGCTTCTGAGCAAGGGAGGGAGGTGGTCAGCGCTAGCCTGTGGGAAGTCACCTCTAGCAGCTAGGAGATGGGTCAGGCAGCTGGCGGAGGGAGCCACACAGGGCCAGTGTTTGACAGGCCTTGATCAGTGCCTCAGGCTCTGCCCATTCATCCTTGTTGTCATCAGCTGCTCTCTGGGACTACAACTCTAGGACAGTTTGTGTGAACCTTAGCCCCTGTGACTTTCCTGAAGCCTCACACAGTGGCCCCCTTCCCCTCTCTGGAGGTCTCAGAGTCGGCGTCTCCCTCCCAGGCCCTCCCGCCCAGCTCACAGGTGCCCCAAGTAAGCCGCTGACGGCACTGCTGGGTCTGGTGCTCCCGGACGCAATGGGCGTTGCCCAGAGGACAAGCTCGAGGGACTAGAAGGCAGGGCTCATGGGGCAACGAAACAAGAGGCAGCGTGCTCAAAGGGGAGGTGCAGGTTGGGTGGCGCTGCCTTCCCTGGGCTGGGGGTCAGACAGAAAGACACCCCTCTCCTCTGGAAGGAAGAAGAGAGAGCCGAGACGAGAACTCAGAAGGGACAGTTACCTGCACTTGGCTGTCTGGAGAGGAGAGTGACCTTTAGTCAGGACCCTGCCAGGGGCCATGTATCAGGGCGAGAGCCTGGGGAGAAGCCCAACTTTGTCTCCTCCCTCCCTCCCAGATATTCAGCAGGGTCCCCCTTGTCTGCAAGTGTCCATGTGCTCTCCCAGATGCAGCAGCTAGAGAGGGTGGAGAGGGCCTCGAGGGCCATCAGAAGACCTGGAGCATGTAGGGGACAGCTAAGCTGCCGGCTCTTTCCTATACCATCCCTGTGGTCCCCACCTCCTCCGTCACTCTGCTCTTTGCAAACAGCCCCTGCTGAGATGACCCTGTCTGGGGGTGCAGCTGATTCCCACAGGCCTGGCACACCCAGACCTTGAAGCCCACGCACAGGCTGCTGTCTGGCTCTGCTCTGAGGTTGTCACCAGCCTGGCTCCCCTGACCAGGGGGCTGGTGGACCTCCCAGGTTGTCTTTCTGGCTTTCCAAGATCACACATTTGGCCCTTGCTACTTGGCTTCTGTGATAACAGCTCCTTTGGTTCTGATCCTGAGGAGTAGGAGAGGTCTCCAACCCTTAGCCCTCTATCTCCTCCTGCCTCCCTTGTTGCCGGCTCCCTGCCTTTCCTTTGCACAAACATTACACGGGCACTTCCTTTGAGTCTGATCCTGGCAGGGTAGCAGCCTGTGCCCCTGACTTTCAAAGTCCTTGATGTGGTCAGCTCAGATGTTGAGAATGAGGAGAACAAACACCTTCAGGAAGAACCGAGACCTAAGGAGTCTGACGGCAGGAAACCTCAAGAGCCACTGCCAGGGTCCCAGCAGTGGCAGGACCGGGCAGGCAATGGCAGGGAGGTAGGGTCTGCTCAGACACTCTCATCCCGCCTGCCACCATCCACCTAGATGAATCTGTGCCTGTGGGGTCTGGCCAGGCTCACCTCTCCGCCCGCCCATGCACCCTGGCCACCTTGTGCTTGCTGTGCCTGGGGGTTCCTCTGCCCAGAAGCCTCGCAGGACTGCCTCCTTCTTGCTTGGATCTCCTTTGATCCAAGAGAGGAGAGGAAGAGAGGCCTGCATAGCTCTGCTGGGGTCTGTAGG